CAGTGCTTATCCTGTCGGCGAGAGTCCTTACGCGTAGTGCCTTTGGCTGGGCAGCGTCCTCGGGCTATCCGATCCCGATTTGAATCGGTGGTCGTTGATTTCTTGGGGCCTTTCCAGGGGGTTACTGTCCACTCATCGCAGGGCGAACTGAAAGATCCCTGCGTATTGGTCCTGATTGATACCTATAGTACATGGCTCGAACTGAGATTGGTCCCCGATCAGTCCACCGATTCTGCCATTGACGGCCTCCTCGCATGGAGTATGCGGTTTGGGCCACCTCTGAACCTACAATCCGATCGCGGCAGTGCTTTTATTTCGAAGGTTATGGAGGCTACCTTGAAGGCTTTTGGTATCTCACATACTACGGGCGCAGGCCATCATCCCCAGCCCCAAGGGGAAGCAGAGCGGGCTGTTGCTGTTGTCAAGGGAGGTCTGAGGAAGCTCGCGGCTCATGTTCCACTATCGATCGCCATGAAGTATCTGGGCTTTATAAGTCGCCTGCATAACACATCTCCACGCTATGGGAGCTCAGTGACCCCTGAAGAACTTATCTATGGAGGACGCACTCGTGACTCCCTTCAGACACTTCTGGAAGGGGGCGAGGTCGGTGAGCAGCAGCCAGAGGGCGTTGATGAGTACCTCAGCCAGCTGAGGGATGAACTGGTAACCTTACACGAGACCTGGCGCCACACCTTGGCTGAAGCTCGTGTAACCAACCTGGTGGGAGGTGCAGTTCGTCATGAGCCCCCAATTGAGGTCCAAGATAGAGTATTCAGGATTATAGTGGACGGGCTACATAAACGTCGCGTGTTGGGGCCATATACGGTGCTGAATCTCGAGGGATCCATGGCTGAGCTCACAGGGGGTGTTCGTGCCCCACTCTGGCAGTTATGGGCGGCGCCCGGGAATGATGCTGTGCGGCGTTACGGTGATTTCGGTTTGCCAGATTTTGAGGACCTGAGAGAGAAGAGGTTAGAAGAGCTATCTAAAGGTGACCTCGTTGTTTTCCGCAACCCCAGCGACGATCCAGAGAGCGTTGTTTGTATCGATCTTGGACGAGTTAGCGCGAATAACTTGGCTCAGGAGACGCTCACACTTGATCGCTTACAAGTTGACGAAGCTGGGATTTGGTATGATACCGTTCAGGGATCCGCCATCGTCGAGCTTGAGTATAATGATGTGGTCTGTACGGGACCACGAGTAAAACTCACTAAATCTGGACGTCTAAGTGCGGAGCTGAAGAAGATGTTACAGAGGATTGGTATTCCTTTCTGAAATTTGATCACTCGTATGAGAGTGGGATCTGTTTTATTTTTCCGTCCTTCCTTTTTTCTCGGGGGGCGTGTACTCACCAGAGTAACTAGCAGAACCCGTCGCTTCGCTCCGGGGTTCTCTAGCTCGCTGACGCTCGGGGGTGTAAGCGATATGTTAAGATACACCAGTTAAATTATGTCCTTGTTGCACTGAATCGAGAACGTAGACCTATGCGTCCTTGGAAGTCTCAGGTTGAGATGAAAAGATCAATGTTATACGGAGCGTGCCACTTTTTCAAGTAAGTCACGAGATTTTCGATTTCTTTTCCAACAAGGACAATTCTCTCTGAAATTGGAGCACTCGATACCCAGTCACATAGCGGATACCATATTAAGAGGAATAGGTGACACTCGTAACCGTAACGGTTAAACCATTCCATAGATATTCAGACAAGCGCCCATTCTGACCGCTCTCAACCGTGCCAGTTTCTTACGCAACAATCACCGTACTATGCCACGCTCCTTATTCATTCTCAAGCTAACACTTTCGGAGTAACTTGAGAACACGATTCTGCTAGCGGATCGTATGATAGCAAGGACACAACATAGAGTCGCTCAGAGCCGCCCGCTCTGGAGCACAATCTAATCATTAGATGTTACTAACATCATGTTAGTGTGGATGATATGAGATAGTAGCTAGCACATGGTGATTCACATGCGACTGTATGCTATACCAGGGTGTGATTTTTGCAAGTGTCAATTTTCATTCCTGAAATTTCCGAAGGAAATTTCGGAAAAATTTCCACGACCCTTGAATTTCCAGGAAATCTAACAAAAATGGCTATTTACTGATCTCTACGCACGTTTCGTTTATAAAAAAGCTAGTTCTGCATTAAGAATAGCTCTCCGCATAGATAGAGTATCGTAGTGATGCTCAGAACTGGTTGTTGTGCGTAAAAGCCCCAACGGCTGGAATCGATCATCAAGGCGAGCGCTTACAAGTTTTCGCATGGCGATTCATGGCAATTCACCTCGCTCCGTCGAGCGCATCTATTTTCTCGCTCGCCTGTAACGCTCGGAGATGCAACTGCAAAGTAATTCATACCATGATAAGTAATAAGGAGATATACTTTTGATCCCAAGCATTTCCATGTCGAGTTCATCATCCACTGGACCGCCACGTTCGTTGTGCGTCATGAGGTGCCACTTGAAACAACTTGAAGCAAGGTGAACTTGAACTTGAACTAAGTTCAAGTATTGAAGTTCAACTTGGGGTTACAGTAACCTAGTTACTTGGCAAGTAATACTTGCTCCTGTACTACAGCACCTGTACTACAGCGGTAGGAGGCCAAGCTCAGCCCGAGTTTTCACCAGGTAATGTGGTCGGGGGTCGAAGACAGAGCTTCTCCTACGCGACGAAAGTGCCATTAAGAGATAGGCAATATAACAGGAAAGCCTTCAAAGACATGGATAAACCAGATTTCTTCGAGAAACTGAACAGAATTCGACCACCCAAAAACGAGGTCTTTCGAGAGCGAAAACCTGTCTCTCACAAAGCTGCTTTGACGGATCGTCAGTCGTGATCGTGATTGACGCACCTACATCCCTTCCGAGTCATCATTGGCTCCCGAACTGAACGCGACACGCAATCGACAATGTAACGCATGGACCCACGAAAGGACTCTCCAACTCGTGACCTTGCTGCTCTTGTACTTCCTCGATCCCGACTGCGCGCTAGCGCAGAAGCCCGGAAGCACCTTGGCGGAAATTTCCTGGAAATTCCGGAAATTTCCACCTTGAAATTTCCAAACACAGAACATCGTGCTGAATTTCCACTCACATCACACCCTGGAATCGTAGCATACTAGAATATAGCAGCTATACTGAGCTCTGTCCAGTCATATGAACACACGATACAACAGAGTCGTCGAAAACTCAGCTTGATAGTACACTGCATTGAATAGATTGAAGCGAGTCGGGCAAACGATGATGGAGTCCATCAGATGGACTTAAGTACTTAATCGGGTAGTAGCAAGTCGAACTCCGGATACGAACTTCATAAACCTGATGGGTCTCCATGAATTGCAGATCAAGATGGCGAATCATTCCCTCATGCAGGCTTTACTGTATATCCATGTTGAGTTTAGTCTTTAAACTCATCTGACTTAGAGTCTCCAAGTTAGAGAACCCGTCGCTTCGCTCCAGAACTCTCAAGCTCGTTTTTGCTCAGAGTAGAAGCAGACAGTGAGTGGAACCCTAAGGCCTATTTCACAGGAAACGCTCCTTAAGGTGCACCTTTAATTTAGGAGCAAGGGACAAGGAGACTTACACCTTACGCGAGGTGCTTTCACTATAGTTGCACTTCGTGCTCCGTACTGAGGTCCGCGAGGTGCATCTTCAGCTTAAGAGTATAGAGCATACCGGCGCGTACGAAAAAGTCGACGCAGTGCTCCGATGAAGCTCAAAAATAAGGTTATGGTCATTGAGTACAGCAAACTCAAAAACACTACCATCAACTCGCTCGAGAACAATCGGTCATCACCGTAAAACTCTAAAGCGCCAAGTCGAATATGCAATTGCAAGTCTAATTGCTTGGTTCAGGGACAGAACATCCGCGTACGAGTGTCTCGCCGCGAGACGCGTGGTCTGGCGGGAAAGAGCGGAGCGAACAACCGAGAATGGTAAGGCCGGTGCGATAAAGTGCCATAATGTACCACCGGAGCAATTTCACGGCACCAAGGACGGGGCTTGAAATATCTCTTATGAAATAGCCTTACGTGGGGAGACTCTCCCTGCTCCTTGTAGGGTAAGGACTCCCTACTAAGGAGCCTTACGGTGAGGAGCCTAGTGACACCTTACCTCACTCCTACCCCGCAAATCGTAAGAATGTAAAAGTGCCTTGCAACGAAACCGTAAGGTACCTCACAATTGTTGCTCCTTATGAGGGCTTGTGAAATAGCCTCCTAACGATGCGGGAAAATTATAGCGTTGTGTGTGTTCTCCTGAAGATCGGGAGTTAGGATCTGATGCGAGAGATATAGTGGCAGCAAGTAGTCTATTACAAAGAATTTCGTAAAACGATAAGGGATTACTTAAATAGGACTTTCATACTGCAGCGAGCATTCGCTGTAGATCACACGTTGACTGGAGAGTATATTGTGTATGTGTGACATAAGAAGCGAGCCATGGAAACAGGTTTATAAGAATTCCTGAAAGGTATTGAAATCGCTATACTCCTACTGAGGTGCTAATCGTCTTTGAAACATCCCTTGTATCCCAAAGCCATAAGGTCCAGCAGGTAATGGACCTTAGCCGGTAGCTTAGTTACCTTAGCCGGCTACCTACGGCTACCTTAGCAGGTAGCCGAGACACAGATATGGACTGCGACTTCACGAGAGAGTACCGAATCACATGATGAACATTTCACAATCATACGACCAAGAGAGTGAGGTTAAATATCTTCATTGAGGTAGAAAAATCGTCAATCGCAAAAACGGTTACAAGTGAACAGTATCGGCTTCGGGGTGAAACAGACGTATTATTCGAATCGAATAATTCGAATCGAATAATTCGATGGATTTTACTACCCTCTCTTCTATTACCAATTGGTCTTGTGTTGTCAAGTGTTGACTGCCACTTGTAACCCACGCATATGGGAGGTTTGATTATATCGATTCCGCGAATGACACACTCGGAATGAGGATTGTTGGGTGACAGTGTGGGTTGTATCATCCAAATCAGATGCATCACTATGTAGCAAATGATCATAAATTACATCGGCTGTGTCACGATTAGCGGCAATGTCTCGAGAGTGAAGAGTAGTTGCGGATACCTAAGAATGGTGCATGACTGGGAGCGGCACATGATCGACATCAGTAAGAGTCGGTGATAAGAATGAGTGAACCCTCACAAACGGATCGGCTGATGATCTGGATGCACAACAGAGTCGTTGGACGTTCGTCACCACGTCGTTAGTATCGAATGGTAGGGTGATGTTGCAGTTGGTGATGCCATGAAAGGAGCGTTATTATGTAGAAAAGAGTGGCATGTGTAGATGCAAGTACCTCAGCGGTATCACGATCAGTAATTAACTATTGAGGGTGAAAATTGAACACTACGTCATGAATACCGACGGATGAAAGTAGATTGTAGGATAACCAAGTCGTTCGTAATGCCTACAATACAGGTGTTATAGAGTAAAGAAGGATAACATATGTAAATGTAAGTGCTTCAGTATTAAAACGACGAAGCATGAAGTATTGCAGGCGCGAAGTACTCCGTATGGAAACCTCAGTGAATTGCATGGTTAGAAGCGGTCAAAGCTTGACATGTATAAACCCTACCAACACATCTGTTGGCAGTGGGAGAGAGGCGGTGGAGTTTTGAGAGAGAGAGAGTGATGTGACATAAAATATAGAAATTATACTTCACATCACAGACTGTGGACAGTGAATGTCGTGAATTTTTGGCACAGTGTACATCGGCGCATGTTCAATGTGGTAGAAATCTCCATGAAAACTGAACGTGCTAGTGAGAAAAAAGCGTATGACACAAAGCTATCGTATGGTAAAAGATTAATAAGTGTTTAGTAGGTATTAAGGGTGTAAAGCTGATCAGATAGAGAAAAGGCATTATTCTTGCTGTGAATAATTTCCTGTAACGTTTTAACACAATGTATATCGGCGCATATCTATTAGGGTCGATCTTACAAATACGGCTACAGTAAGTGATACGGAAAAGGCAGTTCTTGATAGAATGTAAGTGTACCAAGTATACGGCGAACATGATATATGTAGGGGTGTTGACAGTAAGACACAATCTGGAAGGAACCGAAAACAGGCACGGAAACGATTGTGAATTAATTACTCGGAGCAAATTTTTGTGACGGTTTAACACATCTAAATCGTTTTGATCGATCACGCTATGCAAGAGATACTGTGAATCATAGGGAGCTTCGTCGCACGACAAATGTAGTACTGGATAGTCTCAATGGCATGTAAGGTACCCAGAGAAAATCAGACGCGGATATGCCAAACCAAGAACGGAGTCAACTTTTTGACGCACGATTTGTTCACTCCTATTAGTATATAGTAGAGATTGATCGGGATTTACGTGCATGTTCATGAAATTAGCATGATATTTGCATGAAAGAGGATGTTGCCGTCTCGTCCGTTGTACGACCGTCTACTTCCGTCTCGTGATTCCCACGTGACTGGCATCCTGTTGTTATCCC